TGTATCTGATATCTGTTAATTAATACGATTTGATAACAATTTTTATAGAATATTCGGAAACGATAATTAGGTATTTACACATTTTTTTTAACTATACGGAAAGAAAATAGAATGATGTTAACAAGCATTCCAACTGCATCATTTTAACATTTACTTCGCTGCTGAAGCAGCTACATAAACTTAAATAATTTTAGTTGAGTGATGTATAGAAAACTCATACTTGAGCTATTATAAATTAAAAAGGATTATTTGGATAAAACTGCTGGTAAAAATATGTCATGGAAATGCTTAGAATCTACTAGATGAACTTACAAGTTGTGTAAAAAATATAACTAAACAACGATGTATTTTTAGCTGAATTATAATTAAGAGATTCGTCTGTTTTAATTCACCAGTAAACGTTAGCTTATGGGCTAGATTTTATGAGAAGAAAAAAAGAAGAGTTACCGGAGACGTCTTTTATTCTAAATAATGATAAAGCAGTTTTTAAAAAAAGTACAAAATAGATAATTATATCTAATTTAAAGTTTTTAAAAATCTGAAATCTGCGCTGCATTCATAAACGTGTTATATTGATAATGAAAAAAAATTTTTTAATAGTCCCCTCCTCTGCCTTTGATTTTTATATTCTACATAAAAAAATATTAAAGAAGTTATTTTGTTTTTCAAATATCAGTAAAACAACAACAATATTTTATAGAAACGATCGGCAAAAGTATACATACTCATTTCAATTGCCTCAATCATACTTTCGTCGTTGTAATCTGTTACTTCATTTAGAAATTTTTCAGTAGAACATGGTAGACGAAATTTTAGTTCTTTCTAAGCTGCCTCTTTATTTTCTGTTCGTATTTTTTAAACTATTGAATAACTTGCAGTTAATCAAATTAAGTTTTTAGCACGCTCTAAATCCTTGAACAAACTTTTTTTTACTTTAACAATATCACCTACGTATAATATTGTAATATTAGTTGTTAACATTAGTTACTTATAGATTTATTAAGCCTTAAGAACTCAATATTACTTATTAATTAAAGTGCAACAAAGTAGTAAGTGATATAAAAACTAAAGGGCATATATTAAATACCCTTAGTTTCGTTTCCAGAAATCAAAAAAATCAGAAAAATAATTACTAGAATAAATGTATAACATTCAAGAAATGTTACAAATATTAACGAATAGTAGTATAAGATCACATATAAATGTGATAACGCTTGGATTTGTCCTCAAAATTTCATGCAATATGTGGTGGTATAATTCAAGAAATTGTTAGTTCAATCAATCATTTTACAACAGCTTAATGCATTTGGAGTCACACTTTTCATCCATTAATTTTAGTAAAATAAATTGATGAACTTTTTCCACAGAATCAAATTTATATCATCGTCAGCAAACAAATCATTAACTTGCTTTATGATAAGATCAACAGCTTCCTGTGCTTTTTAGAGAGGAAATAATGCGACGCTTATCAGTTTCTTACTATCAAATGACCCTTTTGATTTTTATTCATGTTGTTTCGAATAAAAAAACAATATTCCTTGAATTATGCCTCTTTTAAAAATTATTAAACTTAATACCACAATTTTTCCATTGAGCATTAATTTTACTACTGCACATGGTACATCAACTACCTCTCCTTTTAGTACTGCAAGAACTACTACTACTACTACTACTACTACTACTACAACTACTACTACTACTACTACTGCTACTACTCTACTACTACTACTTCTACTACTACTACTTCTATACTACTACTTCTACTACTACTACTTCTCCCGGGTGGGGTTTTCGCTAGTTTCTCCATACCGGGCGCTTTCCCGGGAGGCGGATAGGGGCATCCTCTTAAAATATGGGGTGACGATGGGCAGCTGGGGTGGCTCTCTGTGGTGGTGGTCGGGGGCTTAGATCGAGAGGCGTGTGTATCTGCGGCGATGTGGACGGGGGACTAGTGCCCCATGCCTCCAACGGTGTGGATGCATGGGCCGGCTCTGCTTGTGCTCCTTGTTCTTCGCTTTTTGCTGCTTCCGTAGGTGGCACTCCATTGCTTGATGCGGGCCAACAAAAACTAGCACCCGTCGTGTATAGAAGTAAGCGGCAATTGAAACATTCTTCTCAGATACATGCATCACACACTCTCCCTAAACTAACACATGGACACTTACGGATTGTCCTGGGTTGCGTGTGGCGGGTCCTTTTCCGGGCTTGCGTTGGAGGCCTGGCGACGGGTGAAGCCGGATGATGAGGCCCGGGTAAGTCTGGGTAACTACATCTGATATGGCTGTATGCCTCATAAACAAAAAAGACGTGGTGGGCCGACTAATCTAGGCTTACTACCACTGAGGAGGCTATATGGCGGCACCTTAGTGCCTTACGCCAGCCCGTTTGGTTGGGTTGCCTGCGCAGTCTCGGGACTGTACACCTGCCGCTCGTCTCACTGGAATGACCGTTGTGTACCAACAAATACATACATTGCACATGAAAACCATTCTTACATTGGTTACTCAACGCCAGGGCAGTCTCCGTGGGTGGGACTGAGGGAGAGTGGCGACTACCGGTCGGCCCGAGCAAGTAGCGGTTTTCTCTGGTAACAGACAGGGCTGCTGCCCTGGTTTTAACCCTTTCCAAATACTTATTTCTAGTAAAAAAAAGTAGTGCTGGCCTTCGCGGGTCAGTACGATATAAAAAAAAAGCCAATATGAAAAACGACGATGCAAAACGAGTACCCCAGGCGGTAACCTCTTTGAGGGAATCAGCCGGCAGTTCCGATCCGGTGAAAGCCCGGGTGACTGACGCAGGCCCCACGGATTCTGGGGGGGGGGGGCAAAGACGTGTCTCATGGCCAACCGGGACTGCTAAATGTTCCATGGCCTTTTCTTACAGACAAAAGACGAAGAGGAAGTCTGTCGAGTATAGGCACTAACGACACCGAGGTTAGCAACGTGTCGGTATTTAGCCACCAGACCCAGGAGGAGCTTGCCTCTTTAGAAGAAAGTGTCACTAGGCTCGGAGTAAAGTGACAGCAAGTTGCTGATATAGTCCAATCAGCAACGAATGACATTGCAGAGACGCTACCACTAATTAATGATAAGTACGGCAACACAGCGAACGCTGTTAAAAATGGGCTCAAAGCGGCGCTCAAGCATCTTCGAGAGGCAGAGGTGCTAAGAAAAGGATGTCTTACTAAAGAAGATTTGTGTACCAACGCTTGAAAATGGTCATTTGAATCCCTGCAGTAGAGGTAAAAAAGGCGAGATAATTTCCGACTGCATGTACAGAAACGAACCCTAAACACTGCCTTAAAGGAAATAGAACGAAGTAAGAGAAACAGGAGCCCTATGGACAGCCCTGAGAAACGCCAGCAGGCTATGTCTTCAAAGTAAAAGAAAACGGGCAGTGACAAACAAAAAGAAATACCACTGAATGACAAAACAAGTCGGAAGAAAAGAGTTGACGCCACAACAACAGTAGTAGTGAAGATGGCTGAAGGACAGACCTTTGCAACGGTGCTGAAGACTATGAAGGCCAACTTTGACCCTGATAAGGCTAAAGTGGCAGTCCAAAGTGTTGTCACTACAAAAAAAGAAGACATTCTTATTAAAGCCAAAGGTATAAAGAATGCTGCTGCATTCTCAAAGCAAATTAAAAAGTCGGTAGCCGGACAGGGTACTGTCAAAATGAGCGACAGAAAAGTGACATTAGAGGCCTGAGACCTGGATGCCATTGTAGAGGAAGATAAGGTCAAAGAGGCCTTATATAGGACTTTTGAACATCAGAGCCAGGAGCCAGAAGTTGCTCTCTTAAAGCCAAATTCCAGAGGACAGAGGCTGGCTTTAATAAAGGTGGACGAAGCATCTGCCAGACAAGTAGAAAAGGAAGGCAGGTTACGAGTTGGCTTTGTAAGCTGCTGAATTCGAAGAAGAATTGGAGTAACAAGATGTTAAAAATGCCTGGGATATGGACACGTCTCGGGCAACTGTGAGAACGAAAACAGATCCAAGCTGTGCTTCCGGTGTGGAAGCTCAAACCACCGGAAGAAAGAGTTTCAAAGCCCAGCACGGTGCTTCCTTTGCCCAACAACGGACAACAAGCACGAAGCAGGCAGCGAAAGCTGCCCTCCATTCAGAAGAGCCCTGAAAGAGGCCAGGGATAAGGCCTAAGCAGGATCAGAATAAGGCAAAAAGGCCTTGAGTTGAAAGACAGGCTCATGTGGACCCACGCTGCGCTGGATACTTTTTACCTATCTGTGGTGATGTGGACGGGGGACTAGTGCCCCATGCCTCCATAGGTGTGGATGCATGGGCCGGCTCTGCTTGTGCTCCTTGTTCTTCGCTTTTTGCTGCTTCCGTGGGTGGCACTCTATTGTTTGATGCGGCCAACAAAAACTAGCACCCGTCGTGTATAGAAGTAAGTGGCGGTTAAAACATTCTACTTAGATACATGCATCACACACTCTCACTAAACAAATACAGGGACACTTACAGATTGTTCTGGGTTGCGTGTGGTGGGTCCTTCTCCGAGCTTGCGCTGGAGGCCTGGTGGCGGGTGAAGCCGGATAATGAGGCCTAGGTTAGTCTGGGTAACCTCATCTGATATGGCTGTACGCTTTATAAACAAAAAAAACGTGGTGGGCCGACTTATCTGGGCTTACTACCACTGAGGAGGCTATATGGCGGTATCTTAGTGCCTTACGCCAGCCCGTTTTGTTGGGTTGTCTGCGCAATCTTGGGACTGTACACCTGCCGCTCGTCTCGCTGGGATGACCGTTATGTACCAACATATACATGCATTACACGAATACCATTCTCAGACTACCACTCTTTCTAAGCCGAAGGTGTGATGCGTACCGTGCCGAAAGGTTAGTTGACCACCGGGGTACTGGCGGTCTCAAACGGTGCCTCGTGGATACCTGGCGACCTCCACGAGTACTTAGCCTTACCGGCACACGCGGGGCTCTGTGTCGGCGGACTTTTATTTCCCTAGCTACTCGTGGGAACAGAATGAAGGTTAATTTTTTAAGGGTTTTGGGGAAGGGTTTGATACGTGAGGGTGGTGAAGGCCACGGCAACGCAGTGGGAGAGGAGTACCAGGAAAAGGCTATCTTCATCTACTTGCTGCAAGTTTTGGTCAAGCTGGGTGGACTCGTTAAAAAATACGGGACCACCCAGAAGGACATAAGAATTGGAGTAGAGGAGGCCCTGTTCGCAGCTCAGGGCCTCCAAAAGAAGTTGGCTAATGTCGCGGCTTGGGCGGGGGGGTTGGGGTCCCCACCTCTTTTTTCGACTCCTTCAGGGGAGAAGAAGAGAAAAGATGAGGGGAGCTCTACGAGTCCCACTTTTCCGGCGCGACCGCCGAAAAAAAAGACGCAGTGGTTGGAGTCCAGTCTGGATGAGAAGGAACGGACCAAAACGAAAAGGAACGGAAAAAAATTTCGGAGGGGTGCCCGCCTCCTGGAAACGCTGGGAAGCCGCATCAGAGGGCCAGGCCAGATGCAATCCTCATCAAGCCAGCTGAGGGTAAAAAGTACGCCGAGGTCCTGGCGCAGATGAAAAAGGTGAGCCTGGACGAGCTTGGGGTGGGGGCGGCATCGGTCAGGGAGACGAGGACGGGTGGAGTCCTCGTCAAACTGCGAAAGGCCAACGCTGAGCGTCACGATGCGTTTGCGGCAGCGTTAAAAAGTGCTGTGGTGGATGCTGGCGGTGTTCGCACCCTCGTCCCGCGTCTCGTCTGGGAAATCCGAAATGTGTACCCGACGGTGACCGAAGAGGAGGTTACAGTGGCGATGAAGGGTCGTTTTGACGGGGCTGCTCTACCAGAGATGGTCTTGCGGCTTTCGTCGGGAACGACCAGAGGAAACAGGGTCACCTATATTGAGGCCCCGGCATCTGCGGCGGCGGTCCTCGACAAAATGGACCACCTGCAGCTTGGCTGGGTCAACTGCAGGATTTGGCCCAGGACTAAGGCCAAGCGTTGCTACAGGTGCCTTGGGTTCGGCCACATTTCTCACCAGTGTGGTGGGTCTGACAGAACCGGGGCGTGCTTTAGGTGTGGCAAAATCGGTCACGTGGCATGGAGCTGCTTGCAAAAAGAAGCAAGCTGCTACTTGTGCGAGAACGTAAATCCAAGGCCGGATACCAGCCACGTCGCTGGGTCTGCCAGGTGTGGAGCCCTACGGGCGGCTGTAGGAATAGCTCCGAAGAAATGGCGCTGATCCTGCCATTGAATCTCGATAGGACCGTGCTCGAACACGATCTGCTGGACCAGTTTTCCCGAGCCCGGGGTGTGGATTTGCTCTTTATAAATGAGCCATCCCGCACGTTACCGGGCCGAGGCTGGTACTGCGACAGGACAAGAGGCGCAGCCATCCTGATTCGCAGCGAGAAGTTCTCCGTATCTGATACTGGAAGTGGAGACGGGTTCCTGTGGATCAGGTGTGGTAGCGTTTTCTATGTAACTTGCTACATATCCCCTAACATTTCGATTGGTGTCTTCAGAGAGAGGCTTGCCGAACTCGAGGATACCGTCCAAGTGTGCAGGGAAAGTGGTGATGTAGTCCTGGCCGGCGACTTTAACTCCAAGGCCATCGTTTGGGGGGAGTCGAGAACCAACCCCAGAGGACGGGCGGTGTTGGAGATGGCTGCAAGGCTGGATCTCATCGTCATGAACTCTGGTGGTTCAGAAACGTTCAAGCGACCTGGAAACCGGGGAACGATCATCGATCTCACGCTAGTGTCATCAGAAATGGTGGCACGGGTCTCCGACTGGCAAGTCCTGGAGGACTACACGGCCAGTTATCACCAGTACGTCAGCTTCGTGATACACGAGGATCGTGGTGCAAACTCACGACATGTAAACCAAAGACGCGTAAACGAATGGAACGTTGCAAAACTCAACCGAGATTTGCTACTGGAAGCCATGGTTGGCGCGCCACCTCTAGCCGATTTAAACAAGATCAAAAATCAAGCGGAGGCTGAGGCACTCGTGAGTGGCACGACGAGACGGGTCGAGGAATGGTGCGACGTTCGTGCTACTGGTGGACCGAGAACATTGCTAACTTGCGCAGAGAGGCGCAGCATCTACGGCGTCTTGCACAGCGACACAGAACTCGCGAAGGCGCCAGGGCAGCTGCTGCCGCGTACAAGGTGGCAAAAAAAGCGCTGGTGAGGGCGATCAAGGTGAGCAAGAATCGGTGCTGGCGCGAGCTCATCACAGAGGTGAATAAGGACATGTGGGGCCTGGGCTACCAGATCGCGTTAAAAAGACTTCGCGGTTGAGACCCGACGCCGCCGATGGAACCTTTCCTCTTGGAGAGACTGGTCTCTTGCCTCTTTCTGGAGCATTCTGCTAGGAGGCTGGAGGACATAAGTGTAGGACAGGTACCTCTCTTCACTCTCGAGGAATTGAGGTTGGTGGCATCGGAGACGCCAGGGCATAAGGCCCCCGGTCCGGACGGGGTGCCGTCCGAAGTCCTCAAGATCATAGCTGCGGAGAAGCCACACGTTATGTTGAATGTGTTCAATGCGTGCCTGCGCGTTGGACTGTTCAGCAGGCGTTGGAAGATCCAAAGGCTTGTTCTTCTGGACAAGGGCGAGCCACCCCCCCTGGCCCCGTCGTCATTCCAACCTTTAGGTATGTTAAACAATTCTGGAAAGATGCTGGAGAGGCTGATAAGAACCCACTTGAGAGGGGAAGTCAGTCTCTCAGAAAACCAGTACGGGTTCCGGAAGGGGCGATCGACGGTTATGGCTGTGGCTGAGGTTCTCGAGTCGGTCAAGGAGGCATGGAAACCCTCTTCTAAGACGAGCAGCGTCTGTATCCTGGCGGCTCTCGACGTAAAGAATGCCTTCAATTCGCGAGATCACGAGAGGAGGCCGAGCGCAAAATACGGTGGGCGGTCGCGATAGTGTTGGAGTGGCTCCGGAATCCCAGTTTTGAGCTAGCTGTAGAAATAATGGAGATGGTCATCCTCACCAGGCAGAGGTGGTTCGAAGGTGACTTTCGCCTAAGCGTTGCGGGTGAGGTAATCTGCGCGAGCCCGGTGGTGCGCTACCTCGGAGTGTGGATCGATTCACGAGTCACCTTCGGGGAGCACATCAGAAGAGCAGCCGATAAAGCCGCTGGGGTCTCTGGGGCACTTTCACCGTTAATGCCAAATGTTGGGGGCCCGCGGAAAGCCAAAAGACGGCTCCTTGCGTCGGTCGCCAACTCGATCCTGCTGTACTGCGCGGAGGTATGGGCGCATGCACTCGCGATGAAGGATGTCCGAGAGCGCTTAACTTTGGTGCAGCGCATCGGATCTCTACGAATCGCGTGTGCCTACCGCAAAGTTTCCTCCGCTGCTGCTATGGTAATTGCATGAACGATTCCTGTCGTGTTGCTTGCGCGGGAGTGGCGAAGAAAATTCCTAGGCTCTGGCGACGAAAACGATAGTGACAGGCGGGAGGAAACGTTAACGACGTGGCAACAGGAGTGGGGTCAGGCTGTTGAGGGTAGATGGACGCACCGCCTGATTCCGTTCCTGCGGCCATGGGTGAAGAGAGGGAATGAAGAGGTAAACCACTACCTCACCCAGTTCCTCTCCGGGCATGGCCAGTTCGATGCCTATCTTCACCACATGGCGGTGAAGGCATCTCCTAGGTGTTTTTACTGCCCTGCGTTGGATGATACCGTCAAACATACGTTTTTTGTCTGTGAGAGATGGCACCGTGAGCACCAGCAGCTGGTGGACAAGATCGGCGTGGCACCCACTCCTGAAACCATCATCTCTGAGATGCTCAGCAGCGAAGAGGGGTGGACGGCAGTAAATGGCTTCGTCGGGTCAGTCCTCCAGAAGAAGAAAAAAGAGGAAAGAGCCGCCGTGCAGGTAACGGGGGCACTAAAGTGGAGAATGTGGACTCAAGCAGCGCTAAGTTTTTGTACTCATCAGCAAGTGGAAGCATCAATGAAGCGCTAGAAGACGGGTGCCAGTTCTCAGGGACCCCGAGTCCTTTTTAGAACTCGAGAGGATTAGCACCTCTAGTAACTGGTGGCCAGCTTGCTCGCTAATGCTGTTAGATACGATGTTCTCCCTGGTGGCTCCACCCTGAAGCAATGCTAACGCGGTTCCGGGGTACATTAAAAGCCACAAGGCATGGGGGAGGGGGTTTTAGTAGGTATGGGTGGTCTAATAAAAAAAAACCACCGAGTCCCACACTACCGCTGTCCCTGCGGTGTGCTTCAATGCATTTCCCCTCCCTCCACAATTTAAAAAAAAAAAAAAACTACTACTACTACTACTACTACTACTACTACTACTGTTCACCCGTCGTGTATAGAAGAAAGCGGTGGTTAGAACATTCTTCTCAGATACATGCATCACACTCTCACTAAACAAACACAGCGATACTTACGGATTGTTCTGGGTTACGTGTGGCGGGTCCTTTTCCGGGCTTGCGTTGGAGGCCTGGCAGGGGGTGAAGCCAGATTATGAGGCCCAGGTAAGTCTGGGTAACCACATCTGATATGGCTGTACGCCTCATAAACGAAAAAGACGTGGTAGGCCGACTAATCTAGGCTTACAACAACTGAGGAGGCTATATGGCAGCACCTAAGTGCCTTACGCCAGCCCGTTCTGTTGGGTTGTCTGCGCAGTCGTGGGACTGTACACCTGCCGCTCGTCTCGCTGGGATGACCGTTGTGTACCAACATACACATACATTACACATAAACACCATTCCTACTCTTGTTACTCAACGCCAGGGAAGTCTCCGCGGGTGGGACTGAGGGAGAGTAGCAACCCCCGGCCGGCCCGAGCAAGTAGCGGTTCTCTCTGATAACAAATGGGGCTGCTGCCCAGGTTTTACCTGTTTTCAAATACTTATTTCTAGAAAAAAAGGGTAGTGCTGGCCTTCGTGGGTCAGTACGACACTCAAAAAGATGCCAAAATGAAAAACGTCAATGCAAAACTAGTACCCCAGGCGGTAACCTCTGTGAGGGAACCCCTAGCAGTTCTGATCCGGTGAAAGCATGGGTGACTGTCGCAGACCCCACGGATTCGGGGGGGATGAGGGGCACAAAGACCTGTCTCATGGCCAACTGGGACTGCTAAATGTTCCATGGCCTTTTCTTACAGACAAAAGATAAAGAGAAAGTCTGTCGAGTATAGGCACTAACAACACCGAGGACAGCAACGTGTCAGTATTTAGCAACCAGACCCGGGAAGAGCTTGCCTCTTTAAAAGAAAGTGTCGCTATGCTCAGAGTAAAGTGACAGCAATTTGCTGATAAAGTCCAATCAGCAACGAAAGAATTTACAGACACGCTACAAATAATTAACGATGAGTACGGCAACACTGCAAACACTGTAAAAATTGCGCTTAAATCCGCGTTTAAGCATCTTCAAGAGGCAGAAGTGCTAAGGAAAGGTGATCTTACTGAAGAAGATGTGTATACAAACGCTTTGAAGTCGTCATTTATATCTTTAAAGTGTAGAGAATAAAGGCAAAATAATTTTCGACGGCATGTACAAAAAAAACCCTTAATACTGCCCTAAAAGAAATATAACAAAGTAAAAGAAACAGATGCCCATCGGACAACCCTGAAAAACGCCAGCGGACTATGTCTTCACAGAAAAAAAAACGGGCAGTGGCAAACAAGAAGAAATTTCCCTGAGTGACAAAACAAGCCAAAAAAAAAAAGTGGACGCCAAAACAACAGTAGTAGTGAAGATGGCTGAAGGACAGACCTTTGCAACGGTGCTAAAGATAATGAAGGCAAACTTTGAGCCCTGATAAGACTAACGTGGCAAAGCAACGTGCTGTCACTACAAATAAAGGAGACTAACTTACTAAGGCCAAAGGTGTAGAGAATGCTGCTGCATTCTCACAGCAAATTGAAAAGTCGGTTGCTGGACAGGGTACTGTCAAAATGAGCAACAAAAAAGTGACATTGGAGGTTCGAGACCTGGATGCCTTTGTAGAGAAAGATGAGGATTAAGACGCTTTCGCTAGGACTTTTGGACATCAGAGTCAGGAGCCAGAAGTAGCTCTCTTGAAGCCAAATGCCAGAGGACAAAGGCTTGCTTTAATAAAGGTGAACAAAGCATTTGCCAGACAAGTAGAAAAGGAAGTCAGGTTACGAGTTGGCTTTGTAAGCTGCTGAATTCGAAAAAAAATTAAAGTAACAAGATGTTACAAATGCCTGGGATATGGACAACAAGCACGAAGCAGGCAGCGGAAGCTGCCCTTTATCTAGAAGAGCCCTAAAAAAGGCCAGAAATAAGGCCCAAGCGGGATCAAATAAGGCAACAAGGTCTTGAGTTGAAAGACAGGCTGATGTAGACCCACGCTGCGCTGGGTACTTTTTACTTATCAGCAAATAAATGCATTAAGCTAATTGTGGTGCTGGCTAAATAGGCGGCCTACTATAAAGCGCTTGACAAGGTGCTGGTCCTCAGGGACCCCGAGTCCTTTTTAGGACTTGTCAGCATCAGCACCTCTAGCTAATGGTGGGGAGTTAGCTTGTTAATGCTGTGGGACGCGATGGTCTCCCTGGTGGCTCCACCCTGAAGTAATGCTAACGTGGTTCTAGGGTGGATCAAAAGCAACGCGGCATAGGGGGGGTTAAGTGGGTGTGGGTGGTCTAATAAACAAAATTTACCGAGTCCCACACTAACGCTGTCCCTGTGGTGTGCCTTAATCCAATTCCCCTCTCTCCACAAAAAAAAAAAACTACTAGTACTACTACTACTACTAATACTTCTACTACTACTACTATTACTACTACTTCTACTACTACTACTACTACTGCTATACCCAGGTGGGGTTTTCACTAGTTGCTCCATACCGGGCGCATCCCCGGGTGGAAGATAGGGGCATCCTCTTAAAATATGAGGTGACGATAGGCAGCTGGGGTGGCTCTCTGTGGTGTTAGTCGGGGGCTTAGATCGAGGGGCGTGTGTGGCGTTGGCGTGTGTATCCGCGGCGATGTGGACAGGGGACTAGTGCCCCATGCCTCCATCGGTATGGTTGCATGGGCTAGCTCTGTTTTTGCTCCTTGTTCTTCGCTTTTTGCTGCTTCTGTGGGTAGCACTCCATTGCTTGATGCGGGCCAACAAAAACTAGAACCCGTCGTGTATAGAAGTAAGCTGCAGGTAAAACATTCTTTTCAGATACGTGCATCACACACTCTTACTAAACAAACACAGGGACACTTATGGATTGTTTTGGGTTGCTTGTGGGGGTCCTTTTCGGGGCTTGCGTTGGAGGCTTGGCGGCGGGTAAAGACGGATGATGAGG